CAGAAAAAAAAAAAAACCAACCCAAAAAGCATTTATATATGGGCTCAGCAGTTAAAGAGTATCTACTGTTCTTAAGGACTGGAGTTCGGTTCCTAGTACCCACATCAAGCAGCTCACAACTTAACCTATACCTCTAGCTCCAGCAGATCCAATGCCTTCTTTTGGTCTTCTTGGGTACCCGTACACACAGGTAAAGACATACACAGATACACACAAAAAAAGATAAATTAAAAAAAAAAAAAGATTTATATATAATCTAAACCAGTGGTTCTCAAACTTTTAAAATGTATCAGAATTATCTGGAAGACTTATAATTGCAGATTGCTGGGTCATATCTCCATTGTTTCTGGTTTTGGGTCTAGGGTGTGGGTCCCAAGACTTTATTCCTGATAAAGTCTCAGATGATACTGCTGCTGCTCCAGATAGATTTTGAAAACCACTGTTCTAAACCATTTTGTTCTTTGAGATTTTTCCATTCCTTAAGTATTTCCCTTCAGCAGATCCTAACTTAAAAAATGACTATACTTGCCTGAAAAATGTTCACTTTCCTGTTAAAAAAGATCTTTGCTCCTGGTCCAAAAAGCTTATGCGCAAGAAACACAGCTTTACTGAATTCATTGAAGGGTATCTGGAAGAAACCTAATAAAACCAGCTTCAACACAAATTGTGCATCCGTATTTCCTTAAAGATACCAATGTTATATATTATTAAATATCTTAAGACTCAGTATTCTACCATGATGTAGTAGGTAGTACAAAGTTAATTCAGTAATGTACATACCAGATTTGAAAGATTATTCTTTCCAGGTATGATATCATTCTGTTTACTTTGTTCCTGCCTTGGTTTACATTTTTTTCCTACACTAGAAGATTTTAAGGAAAGATTTCTTGCTTCTGAGAAAGAATTTTCTGAGTTGATTCTCTGTTCCATTTGCTCTTTTCTCAATTTCTTTAGTTCTCGTTCTCGGCAATAAGAAGCTAGTGACAACTGGAACTTAGCTCCCAGTGGGCTTTCTCCTGGGTGGTGCCGCGATACACTGCTCCTGCTACTGAGACTTCTGGAGCTGTTCTTAAAGATGTCACCTTCTGTCACCGGGGCCTGCTTCTTGGAGTCTGCACTGGTTTTGCCTCGATCTCTGTCATGCTTCTCCCTGTTACTTTCATGAATGAACAGCGACTTCCTTCTCTCTGGAGACCGGTGTTTTTTCTTCCGTACCTTTGTCTCTTTCGACAAGCGGTATGAGGAAGGAACATAGATATTTGTTCCTTTGGGTAAATATTTGGAGGCTAGTGACACACAAGGCCGACGTGATTCATGGGCACCATGATCTTTGTGGTGCTCTTTAACACCTTTCATGAAAGCTTCTAAGATGGGACTTTCTTCTGATGGCATTCTTTTGGGTTTAGATTTTTTGGGTGAGGATAATTTTCTTTCAAATTGCTCTGTCCCACTAATGGATAATCCATTTCCTCCATATTTGATGTTTGATTTTTGTGGAGAATCCAACATATGTTTGTCTAAAACAGCCACAATTAAAACACATACAAACTGCATGTTATTAAAAGTAAACCAATGCTTTATTTATCTTAATCATCAATTTTTAAATATATTAAAGGCACTAAAAAATTAAAGCCACAAAATATTTGGGTAATGAGATATACTTTTGGGGGGGATGGGTGCAAAATTAAGAAATGGGTTTATGTGGTAATAGCCTTACTTTCATAAAGCTCCCTTTGCTACATCACATAATCTCCCTATGGCTCTATTTTTAAGTTACTGTAGTTGAGAATAAAAATGGTATGTATTATATACACTCTAACCTGGAATGATAGTTTCAATGTTTAGAATGTACAACAGCAGAAAGACTTAATGTTTAAGACTTATTTTTGTATAAATAACTACTGCATTTTCATCAAAACAGCACATTTTAAATTTTGAACACTATAACCAAAAAGTCTAGAGACCCTCTTCACCTCCAACAACTGACCCAAGATGTGTTAACAGTATACATACCTTGTTTTGAAGCTGGCTTGAAGAAATCTGTAATTGACTGCTTCCTGAAAATAAAAGCACAACTAATATGGTATCACGAAAGCAAATATTTAAAAAAACTCAGTAATCTAGATTAAATGGTGAATGTTAAGATTTATATATCATAGGCTGGATTTCCCTATCTTATATAACTCACCAAGTTCTAACAAAGGCAATCATACTTTGCTAAGTCATAAGAAAGCTGAAGATAACAATTTTCTCTAAGTTTATAAAGATACAACTGAGATTTATGAAATCTAAAGTACCAAAATGGCAAAACTGGAGTGTGAATCCAAGGAATTGACAGAGACTGCTTTTAAATATTGGAATGCTTATAGCTACATGGTAGAATGGAAGATCTTGGGGATAAGCATATGATTCTATTTGTTGTTATCTCCAGTGATTGGTACAAAATAACCACTTAAAAAGAATCTGATGAATGGAGATTATAAACCTGAACAGACTCCTGTAATACAGATGGTAGAACACCAGTATGAGCAACTGGGTTAATCTGGAGAGGTAGATGAAGAGAAATGTGCTAGACAAAAGCAGACAGGATCATGTACTAATCTTATATTAATCTCTTAAAGTAACAGCAAAAACTACAATGAGGCTTAACTAGTGTTTCAGATGTTTAAGGTTTATTATTTTTGTGTTTGTATGTTTGTGTAAGTGTATGCCATGTGTGTAGGTGCCCACAGAGGCTGAAGAGGGGTTGGATCCCTTAGAGCCGGCGTTACAGGTGACTGTGAGCCCGCTGATGTGGGCGTAGGAAGTGCTTTTAACTGCTGAGCCATCTCTCCAGCTCATGTTTATATTTTTTTTTAGACTGAGTCTCCCTGTATTCCCAGCTGGCCTGGAATTTACTATGTAGACCAGGCTGACTATGATTTCATAGAAATCGGCCTGCCTCTGCCTCCTGAGTGCTGGGATTGAAGGCGTGCACCACCACAACTGGCACATGTTTAATTTTTTAATCTAAAAAAATCCTTAAGATATTTTACTAAAACAGTATACTACCTGGGAAAAATGTAAAGGGGTATGAAAGCTAACAAGTAAAAAAACCAAAACTACAGTTGCTTTAATAATTTTTCTAGATTTCTATGTTAGGACACGGACACTCAATATTACCAGGGCAATATTACCAGAACTTATATTCTGATTCGTTTAGAATTTAGAATTGGAGGGCCGGAGAGATGGCTCAGTGGTTAAGAGTACTGTCTGCTCTTGCAGAAGATGCAGTTTAGTTCTTAGCACTACATGGCAGCTAACAACTGTCCGTAACTCTAGTATCAGGGGATCTGACAATCTCTTCTGGCCTCCACAGGCACTACATGACATAGGTACACTTACTTACATGTAGGCAAAATACACACATAAAATAAAAATTAGAATTGGCAGCTGTAAAAAGGGGGACATTATATGCAGAGCAAAAAAAATAAACTTTCTGGAAAATTTTACTAAACTGTTTCCATTTTGCTGAATGAGAATAAGCTGAAAGCTACCACTTTCTCTACTCCACTATGAGTCTGGAGTACTCAGTGAAAACCTTAACAATCCAAATCCCAGGTTGAGCTCTTTCTATATCTTGTATATTTTACTAGTCACATCAGAAGAGTAATGTACATCTTTATTGGTTCACTGAGAGTTCACCACTGAGATGTTGACAGAAAACCTAAATGTTTATGAGAGACAGGGTTATGGAAGAATACATGCATGTTTACAGAAAGCAAATATTAGGTATGTAAATTCTACTATTGAGTAAAGGAAGAAATGCTAGAGAGTTGCAAAAAGAAGAAAAAAAATGCCTTGTTATTGGGAGAGAAGCCACAATCAGCTAATTCAGGTCAAGAATACACTCAATATTTTTAAGTGTTAATTACTAAATATAACACATCTCCTCCCAAAAGTATTGTATCTTAACGTTCCTTTTCAATGCAACACCTGGGGGGGTGGCCGTCTTTGGGTAAACTATATCACCACAAATGAAACTTTCTAGAGGTAAAGGTAATTATTCCCTAAATTCAAATGCACAGAAATGCCCACTACTTATTTATAACTGGTTAAAAAAATTTTCTAACACCTTCACAAACCCGTATCTGAAATTTCTGGGACCAAATGTGAGTTTGAATTTGGAATTTATTGAATTTTAGAAAAGAAAAAAACTTGAATGTATTATATGCAGCCCCCAGTGGGGTTTAGTGCTGCAACCTGTCATCAAACATGCTATTTCTCCAGCAAAGTTTATGACTGTTCATACTCAATGGAATAACGACCATAAACATCTTTATGTTAGTTCTGGTCAGTCTGATCAGGCTGCCATGTAAGATGTGGTACCAAACTTACTGGAAACATTTCTTTTTACAGCTTTCTGACTTTCAGAATTAAGGGACTGTGAGTCTGTACTACAATATTAGCACATAAATTTATTTTTAAATATCTGTTACCACCTTTTAAAATTAAGAAAGACAGTACCAAGTTGATAGAGAATTTAAACATGTTTTATTGTCAGAGGGTGTCATTTGATGAAAATTTCCATCTCATTATACAGCTCCTACAAAATCTTTACAAAAAAATGGCCCTTTGGAGACGCATAAACTTAAAAACAACCACATTCCAATTTTTTTTAGAATGAATCATTATGTACACTGGACTATAAAGTAATTCGAGGGTTTCCTTGTCACATCTTACATAATTTCACTCACAATGTTGACACCACTAGGATCAGACCGATCTAAATAGATGCACTGGGTAGGGTGGGCCCCAGGTCAAGCTTTCGGAGAGGATAAAAATTACCTTCTACCTACGGCGCGCTCTCGCTACCGAGGCTGGGGGGGCGTCACTAGACCTAAAGCAACGCAATTACAGACAAGGAAACTCCAACTCCCAGAAGCCCCCGCGCGGAGGCGGGGCGAGGGCTTGCAGGCCCCAGAACACCAAGGCCTGAGCTCGCTGAGGATGGCGGGAATTGAAGAGCTGCCGTCCGCAGTCCTCCCCTCATCCCCTCGCCCCCGCGACCCGGCCCCTTCTCAAGCCCTGTGCACGATACCTGTCCCCAGGACTCTCTGTTCTCTTTCCCGCTGCAGCAGGGGTGGTACTACCGGGTCTCAGATGGCAGCGCGGGGGCGACGACCCCGGGGCTGGGGATGAGGGGAAACCTGGCCTAGCGGGCATGCAGCGCCTTGTCATGTCGGCGCCGCTGGCGACGGCGGCATGAGCTGTAGCTGGAGACGTTGGGTGCGTGGTTGCCGTCTTGCTGCTGGGACTCGGGGAAGCTGTTGCTGCAGAGGTGGGCGGCACCCCCTACTCTCTTCATGGCGGTTCTCTCTTCGGAAGTGACTCGGGTGTGAGCGGGAAGGAGCCGGAGGACCTTCAGGGGCGGGCCTTATTTGAGGAATCGCGTTCTGATTGGCTGATATTGGGATCACTCTAGTGGTGGCGCAATAGAAAGCTGTGGCCTCTAAGGAGAAGGCGGGGTCTTTGGAAGGGGGAGGGGAAAATGAAAACTGCCCTCCCCGGACCCATCACGTGCACCCGAGGCGCGGGCCTCCGCGTTGGGGCCAAGTCGGCCTTGGCTGGTGCGTGGGGGTGGAAAAGTGGAGGCTTTGGCGCGTGTTACGACAGCTGGAGACACCCGCTTGATGGAGGGGTAGGAGGTGAGATTTGCAGAACTAAACCGGAGCCTGCAGCTGTCTGCAGCGGGATTAGCCAGCAGTTGTCACACAGTTGTGCTACAGAAATCCACAGCTGCTCCAGTATTACATAGTCACTTTAGCATCTTAGGCCGAAGTGCCATAATGCTGTCACCATTTCCTCAGTGATCTACCAGGCCCAATGTGATTTATCAGTTCTGTGAGGGTTCTTCTTAGTGGTTGACACCCCCACCCCCCACCCCCACCACCAGGAGAAACCCAACCATTGAATTAGTCTTTATTCTATAAAAGCATTTTGTTTGTCATGGGATGCCCATGAAATCCCTGCAAGCAGGCTTCCTTGGAGATTTTTTAACCGACCAGTCCATTTTTTTAACCGACCAGTCCATTCGTAAAGGGCTTGTGCTTTTAAGGCTATTAGCCCGGATTTTCTTTGCAAACTGAGAGCTTGGTCAGTGTTATCTCTGAGCCTTAGACTCCATGTTCATAAAATGGGTATATTACACTTCTTTGGATACTTTGAAGCAATAAAAAAGCAAACATTTCAGATTCTTTCATGTAATTGGTACTAAGTAAATTATGATTCCCTTTCTTCAGATAGACCTCTGCAGTAAACAGGCTGGTAGTCCTGGTGAAGAACTGAATCTTAGCATTGGGGAGACTGAAGATAAAAGGATCAAGAAGTTGAGCCCCAGTGCCTAGGAGATGGCTCCCTGGGTACAGATGCTAGCTGTCACCACTGGAGACCTATGTGGTGGAAGGAGAGAACTGATTCCAGCAAGTTGTCCTATGACTTCCACACATAACACAAATAAGTGTAATAATAGTGTATTTAGAAAAAAGATTGAAGCCAGCCTGAACTACATAACAAGATCCTATCACAAAACAAAGTAAAATCTTTGAGAGACTGAAAACAAAGACTTAATAGTGACTGTTAATAACCAGAATTTCCATCTCAAGGATGTCCAAGCTTTAACTGAGAGGAATGTTCCATCAATTGGATAAAACAAATTCCTAAGTGACACAAAAATTTGAACAGGTCTTTCGAATTTATTGTAGTGAGATTGAATTGCTTCTGTTGCTAAGCACACCAGTCTGACCTGGAGTTCACCTCCTTTCTCTTCCCTGGTAGCCCTCAAGAAGAATTAATGAGAATAAAGTGGCGGGTAGGTTGGCAATGTAGAGGGTAGGAGGTAGAGAATAAACATACAGATCCCATTCAAAAAGCAGAGCTACATACTGTTAGTAATAATGTGTAAGAAAAGAAATAGCAAAATTAAGGACTTTTTTATGCTCCTTATAACTTGAGAATTTACTGCACTATTTTTATGTAGTATGACATATTAAAAAACAGAGTAGGTGCTGAAAATATATTGAATGGTGGTATACATTTGCTTATTAAGGCCTTTTACATTATTTGCTATCCCTTGATTTAGCACTTTCTGTCGGATGTTTCTACACTAAGAAGGTCCTGCTTCTGTAGCACAGCACATCTACAGAATATTTAATCCAATTCATTTCATTGCATGCTCAGCCCATAAAAATAATAATGCATAAAAACACGTTCTGCATGATCAGTTAGTTGCTTTTCTTGGATTATAGTATTTGAATCATCTAGCCTCCAAAGTATCACTTTAAAGTCTGTAGTCATGCTGCCAAACAATAGTTTTCATATTTTCTTAATCTGAGCAACAGATTATGGAGTTAAGTGAGGCAAGAAATCCCTTGATCAATAAATGGAGATGGAGTCGTAATGAAAGCACAATTTTAAAAATCTCTTCTTAACAGGGAAGTAGTTATCTAAATCCTCAATAAGCATTAGGGCTTTTCTTTGTTTAAGCTGCGTAGGAAAATAATACAGATTTGGGTCAGGTCGCAGGGTGAGATATGTTCAACATACTAACGAATGGCTGGGAGCCTCTCAAGCTTTTCTTCCAAAGAGAACTGGATTTCTGTTTTATATGTATCTTCTCACTTTAAATGTGTACATGTACTATACACAAACATACTAACACAGTAAGGGCTCCCCCTTCCCTCTGAAGTACTGGGGATGGAATTCCAGGCTTCGTGCATACTAGACAAGCACACTACCTCTAAGCTATACCCCAGTCTTGTAAGGTTTTTTTTTTTTCACTTTAATATGTAGTTGTTTGGAAATAGAAGCCAGGAAACTGTAGACTAGGTCAAAAGCTGTATGTGTTCATGTGGGATGACAAGGTGGGAGAGAAAAACAGGTGAAGATGGAGGAGAAGGATGATGGATAATGTAAGCAACACTGAATTTGAGAATTAAAACCTCAACCAAGATTGGGAAAATAATTTGGAGAATGAAGCCTGAATGACCATGAAAGGCTAGTTTGTTAAGATTTCTGCATATGGGGATAAGGAAACAAAGAGCAGGGGACCTGGAGTAGTTTCTACTCACGAAGCATTTGTGGGTTACAGCTCAGGCCAATTTAATACCCAAAGTTCTGAAAGATAACAGGTCAGGGAGCTCTGGTATTGATGAGAAGGGAATGGAAGGTTAGCCACAAAGTATGTTGCATGAACAGTTGAACAAGTTTGCTGAGACAGGCAAGTTCAAGGTGGGAGTCCTGAGAGGATGGCCATATAAACAAAGCCAGAAATTTTAATGGAAGCATTGTGGGCAGATAGGCTCACATAGTACCTAGCACACAGGGACTAAGAGGATAAAAGGGGCTAACAATACCAATGAAGAATGTTACTAAGGAGCTGGAGACATAAAAAGCAACTTCTGATTTTACAAGAATGGCCCATTTTTTGCTTTGAGATTGCTACACTTTGAAGTTAACTCCAAGGCTCTCAGAGAGTACTCTAGGGCAGGCCAAGAGAAAAAGACCCATGTGCTAGGGAGTTGGTGGGGGAAGGAATGTGTGGAGGTGGTCTGAGAAATGGGATAAGGAACAGACTCAGAGAAACAGGAAATAATTAACTTGAAAGCCTGACAGAGAAAGACCACATGAGGGTCTCAAGAAGGGAAAGTAAGCTCACAACAGCTCAAGATCCACACACAAAAAAACTTTGCAAACAGATGCTGAACTTAAACCCAGCTGAACAAATGCTTGGGAAAAGCACTATCTTAGTTTTGGGGGTTGCCTGGGAGATGCCAAATGTAATACAATGTCAGGCTGTCATGCAATCCAAATTTTCTGGGAATTAGGAGTGAAGCTGCAAAAACTGGAGTTGAGGAAGTTAGTTTCATAGATTTTCTTCATGGAATGTTACAAGACAGTTTCCCACACAGATACACTAAAAACCCATTGATGATTTTTGATGTATATGACAATTTCCTGTTGTTGCTGGGGAATCAAATCTGGATCTTGCCTAACCTAGATAAATCTTCTGCCACCTAACTACATCTCTGTCCCTTGCTGTTTTGAGGCAGGTCCTTGATATGTAGCTCAGGCCAGCTTTGAACTCACTATGTAGCCCGTCTCCAATTTATAATCCTCCTGCTTCTACCTCCCGGGTACTGGGATTTTAAGTGTGTGTTGTCACACTAGTATGACTTTAAATGCATCACATGCACAATACACACAAACACACTAAAACAGTTGTTCTAAGGGCTTTTTTTTCCTCAGTGATATGTATCTGTGTTTAGGTATATGCTATAGAGGAGGGAGGAGAGAGAGCAAGATCCAAGTTTCTTCTAGAGAGTAAGATCCAAGTTTCTTCTAGAGTCATCTTGTTTACAGTGCTAGTAGATGATATCACTTGTACATCTAAATTTATAAGAAAAATTTGAGGAAATACTGGCTTTAGGAATTCTAGCCTGCAGCCATGCATTTCTTATACATGGTTAGTAAACCTGTTAGAAGATTTTGAAGTTGATGTAATGAGTCACCAACCACATTAAAACAATTACAATCACTCTAGGATGGAATAGAGAATACTGGTGCACTGCACATCAAAACACATGTTGTTTTGCTAGATCTTTACATCTTCGTTTGTGTATGTATCTTCCATGATGGTGATGTAAATGGCCCCTGATGTAGGCCATAGTCAACATCTTTGAAAGTCACTCTAGGAGCTGGAGAGATTGCTCTGTGGTTAGGAGCATGTATTGCTCTTACGGAAGGCCTGAATTTGGTTCCCAACACCTACATTTGGTGGCTCACAACTGTCTGTAACTCCAGCTCCAGGGGGATCCCATGCCTCGTGGCCTCTGTGGGTATACACACACACACACACACACACACCACAGACACACAAAAAATAAAATTTACCACTCCAGGCCTGGTGGTACATGCCTACAATCCTAGCTACTCAGGAGTCTTAGGCAGGAAGATTTAAAGTTTAAGGCTGTCCTAAGTCCAGAGATAGTTCAAAGCCAGCCAGGGCAACTTAGTGATACTTTGTTTCAAAATTACAAAAACGGAAACAAAAAACTAGCTGAGGCTATAGCTCAGTGGAGAGCACTTTGCCGAGCATGTGTGAGACTATGGATTCAATTCCCAGTACCGTATACACACACAAAAAAGTGTGAAAGTCACTGCTGTAACATATACTGATGTTTCACACTTATGTGTACGGAAGCTAAATACTAAAGCTGTTTGGGAGAAAGGAACTAAACTTCCTTTGGTCACAGCCATGGGGGCAGTTGGGACCTAACTTGGGGGTATTCCTGCCCTATGTCCACACCACCGAGGATCTGATGAACACCTAGACTAGACTTTGCAAGGAAGA